TATAAAATAAACATATGGATATTCAAGTAATTTTACTTAGTGGGTATTCGCTAGAATAAATTACATTACCCTCCCTCTAGAGATAAGAATATTATAATGTCCTCTTCTCTTATGTTAAAAATATATAATTTAGTCTATTTAACATAATGTCATCAATGCAAATTACACTTTCTTCTTTTGAGAGATGTAACTGTTACATTATTTTTTATTTATATATTAAAATATCAAATAAATTATACTTTTATTCCTTAGAGATATAAAAATTATACTATCACTCTCTTGTTATATCAATTTAGAGTATTTAACTTAACATCGTTAAAGAATAATCATTATAAGATTTTAAAAATATAATTTTAACTTAATTATTTATAAAATATATTTTTAATTTAATTATGATAAACAATATGCTTTTAATTAAAATATTTTAAGATGTTTTTAGTTGATTGACATTCATTCACTTAATTAAAAATTTGTAAAAATATAATTAAATTTAAATTAATTCATTAAAAAAATAAATAAAATAAATATTATAAAGTAAGTTATATATGTATACTTATATATATGTATCAATTGTTCAAAAACTTTTCTTGGAAGTGCCTTTGTAAAGAGATCTGCTAAGTTGTCACTTGAGCGAACTTGTTGAACATTTATATCACCATTCCTTTGAAGATCAAGAGTAATTTTTTTTGTAGAATATGTTTTGTTCTATCTCCCTTTATGTATACATATTTCAATTGTGAAATACATGCAACATTATCTTCATATATAATTGTCGATGTCATTTTTTCAGAAGATAAATCACAAGTTTCCTGTACATGTTGAATCATAGATCTTAACCAAACACATTCATGACTTGCCTCATTTAATGCTAAAATTTCAACATGATTAGATGAAGTGGTTGATATGGTTTGTTTCACAGATCTCCATGAAATGGTTGTACCACCACTTGTAAACAAATATCTTGTTTGTGATTTACCATTCTAAAGATCTGACAAATAACTTGCATATGCATAACCATTTAATTCTGGTTTAGAAACATTTGAATATAATAACCCCATATCCATTGTACCTCTAAGATAATGAATGGTTTGTTTAACTCCATTTCAATATCTTCGTGTAAGTGAAGAACTATATCTTGCTAACAAATTAACAACAAATGTTATATCAGGTCGTGTATAATTAGCAAGGTACATTGGTGCTTCTATAGCATTGAGATATGGTACTTCGGGACCAAGTATTTCTTCATCATTTTCTTGGGGTTTAAATGGATCTTTGTTAGTATCTAAAGATCTTACAGCCATGAGAGTGCACAATGGATGTGATTTGTCCATATAAAACCTTTTAAACACCTTTGTTATGTAAGCTTCTTGATGCACAAGAATTTCATTTTCTAAATATTCAATTTGCAGTCCTAGACAAAAATTTGTCCTTCCTAGATCCTTCATTTCAAATTCTTTCTTTAAGCAATCTATTACTTTTGAAAGCTCTTCAAGATTTCCAATAATGTTTATGTCATCTACATAAATTACATTTATGGAAAATTCATTTTTAGATTTTTTTAAAAATATACACGGACAAATTGGATCATTTTTTATATCCTTCTTGTAACAAATATTCACTTAGTTGATTATACCACATACAACCTGATTGCTTTAGCCCATATAGGGACTTACTCAACTTGATCGAATAATCTTATCTAGAAATTGCATCTTTAGGAAAATTAAATCTTTCTGAGAGTTTCATATAAATGTCAACATCAAGAGACCCATACAAATATGTTGTAACTACATCCATTAGGTGTAAATTAAGTTTTTCATGTACAACTAAAATAATTAAATATTGAAAAATACTTGCATCCACGAGAGGTGAATATGTCTCTTCAAAATCAATAGCGGGTCTTTGTGAAAATTCTTAAGCAACTAGTCTTGCTTTGTATCTTACAATTTCACCATTTTCATTTCATTTTTGCACAAAACTCATTTGTATCAAGATGGTTTTACACCCTTTGGTGTACATAGTACTAGTCCAAAAAAATTTTGCTTAGTAAGCGAATCTAATTTTGCCTCAATTGCATCTTTCCATTTTGGCCAATCATTTCTTTATAGACAATCGTTGATGGACTTTGGTTCTTGATCCTTAATATCATTTATTATTTTAACGCTATATTATATGCAAACACATCATCAATTTGACGTTGTTTCGATTCCATTGTATTCCATTCATGACATAATTTGTTGAGATCTTTTCATTTTCAATAATTTCAAGTACCTAAGTTTCTTTTGGAACTTAAATATTAGTTAAGAAATCCTTTTGAGTTTTTACATCCTCAATTTGGTGATTTTATTCTTTAGCCCCCTTTTTAATTCGAGGATTTTTATCCATGAAACCAATTAGTCTACCATGCTTCAGGCGTATTTGTGACTCATTTGCAGTATTAAATTGTTCAACAGGGACTTCGACTCTTATTGGAGCACTAGCTGCTGGTACATATATATGACTTAGTCACCTCTTTTAGATCTGTGAATAGATTTAGTAATTGGTTGGCTAGATTTTGCAAATGAATTATCTTTTGAACTTCCAATTTACATTGTTTTGTATGAGGATCAAAATGAGATAGTGATAATTCATTCCAATTAATATCTTTTTCTAACTGTTTGTGTTCTCCCCCTAATGTTGGGAAAATCAACTCATTAAAATGACAATTGACAAATTGAGCCGTAAGTAAATCTCTTGTTAAGGGTTCAAGATGTTTTATTATAGATGGAGATTCATACACAACATATATTCCCAACATTCTTTGAGAACCCATTTTAGTTTTTTGAGGGAGGCAATTGAAACATATACAACACACCCTACGATTCTTAAATGAGAAATATTGGGTTGCTCACCGAAAACCAACTATAAATGAGAGAATTTGTGATAACTTGTTGGCCTGATGCAAATTAATAATGCAACATGTAAGATTGCATGCTCCCAAGTTGACATTAGAAGTTTTGATCTCATGAGTAATGATCTTGCAATTAGTTTTAAACGTTTGATGAATGATTCTGCAAGTCCATTTTGTGTATGAACATGTGCTACTGGATGTTCAATATCAATTCTAATGGACATACAATACTTATTAAAAGCATGAGATGTGAATTCACCAGCATTATCCAAACGAATTTTCTTAATTGGATATTCAGGAAAATGAGTTATTAATCTAATTAGTTGAGCTAATAATCTCACAATGCCTAGTTGCGAGTTGATAATAAATAAACATCTGACCATCTTATTGATGTATCAATTAAAACCATAAAATATCTAAATGGTCCACAGGATAGGTGTATTGGTCACAAATATCTGTTCTAAAAATAAGATAGATTCATTCCCAATTTTTGTTGATGATGGTCTAATTATTAACTTCCCTTGGGAACAAGCAGTACATGCGAAAATATTTGACTGAAGAATTTTCTAGCTTTTCAATAAATTTCCGCATGAATTTTCAATTATTTTTTGCATCATGATAGTCAAGTGTGACCCAACCGATCATGTCAAATCTCAAATTTATTTTGATTTATAAACTTCTGATTTACAATAGTATGTATTTCAACTATATTAACATACGTTCAATACAATTCATAGGAGAAAACAAGTAATTTTTCCAATACTTCCTTTTTATTCAAGTTGAGTTTCGTGATATAAAGCTATTCTACATTCCCTTCATTGTTTGTTTCAATTTGAAACTTAATAAGTTTCTATAAGACTTAGAAAAATATAATACATTTTTAATATGCAACTTTGTTCATCCCGATAACAATATATTAGCTCTTCCGGGACCTTCAATTATATTTTGTAGTACCATATAATGTTAACTTCTCACTTTATTAAATATGAGAAGACAAAAATTGATACATCAATACATTCACTTCAAGGAATGAAACAATGCTAGTTAAAATGGTCTCACGCATCAAAAATCTCATTATTTTGTTTAGTCTTCAAGAGACAATAAATCAATTTAAGATATTTCTTAATCTCTTTTTTTTTTCTAAGATGAATAGAAAATAAATGTATTAGGCAAAATAAATGTATGTAATATGTAGAATATATTATGTTAATGAAACATTGATATTTCTCACTTCTAGTGAGAGAAAAAAAATAATAAAGTAAAAGATGTTGAACATTTTCCTTTGATAGTGTCTTCTAGACACATTTCAAGAATCTATGAAAAATTTCTTTATTTAATAGTGCCTTCAAAAATACGATAATGTCTTTAGGACTACTTTGATTCATAACAATATAAACAATATAAATATTTGATAAAAATTTTATTATGGAAAATGAATAGCTGACCTTGAAACCTTTGGCTTGAAAAATATGACCTTCTTCAAGAAAATTCTTCACAACTTTATCTCGTAGTTGCAACACCAATAGAGAAAAGATTATCGTGCTAATAACATGTTATAAAAGAAAGAAAATGTAAAGAGAGAACAAACAAGACAATATGAAATGGAGAAAAGAATCTGAATGATATATTATCTTTGAGGAAGAATTAACCTATTTATAAGTACATATAGTAGTTGAATAATTACATAAAAAGGGAATAATACATAACAAAAACATAAATGATAATGATTGATAATGAATATTGACATCCACTAATTGAGTCACTAATTATTATTCATAATAAAAAATAAATAAATTATTATATAAAAAATATTATATTATTTGTATCTCTTAAAAAAGAAAAATATAATTTAGTCTAAATAGTAAAATACTCATTCTCATCCATTTATAAACAAATAAAAACATGCAAGTAATCATCATTTATAAGTATAAATATAGCAAATCCATTATGTGAGAATTTTATTTTTCTCATCCTTATATTCAAGGCAGACGAGGGCCCACTTCACAATTACAAAAGCTTCGTTTCCTTCTCATTTATCTAACTAACACTTGCTTGGTTCGCTGCCCGCTGTTTGTCTTGACTCTTAGGTAAGTCCCATTTTCCTTTCTTTTCCTTCTCTTTTTCTCTCTCTTTCCGCATCCAAACAGAGAATTAGGGTTTGATCACGTTCCATTCATGAACGTTCCGTTTGGCGAAATTATTTGGGATATCGAAATTGATGGTTTGTTGAATGACTCTCTGGTCTGTGTTTCTTCTTTGGTTGCTGCTAAAATTCAATCTTTTCAATGCAAGTGAGGCAATGGCAAGACTAGAAAACGAGGTTGTTAGTGATGGGAAGGGAGACGCAACTTTGCAATGAGATTGTGTGTGTGTGTGTTTGAGTGAGCATTCGCAAAATTGATTTTGATTGGATTGATTTTAGAACTTAATATGAGAAAAATAGTATAATACATCATGTACAATACATCATGTTAGGTACAAGTGGTAATGGACTCGATTTTCTTGAGTAAGTAATGAGTTAAGTCTTGTGTATGGAAAAAATATGGTTGAGAGAGGAGACCCCACTAAAGGTGGTGAGCTAGATTTTTTGACAAAAATTAGTCATGCCCGAAACCATTAGATGTTTTTATTTTAAAAGCTAGTAGAAAAATTCCACTCAAATTTTTATATCCAAAGCAAAGGACTTAAAGCTGTTTCAACTCAAATCAATTTTGAATGCAAAATCAATTTCTCAATGTGGAATGTGATTTTGGATGATCGATGATTGTGAAACCATATAACATAGAAGAAGAGATAAACAACCCTGAACTTTAAAGGTCTTAATTTTATTTTAATGTTTTAATGATTTTGCTGTATTTAGTGTTAATATAGAATTGTTTGCTGAGGGGCGAGGTTATTTAAAAGATCACAACTTAGTAGGGTATATTTGTTAGCAAGTTGACATTCTTTTTGGACAAATTTGTGTAAACGTGCACTTAAATTTCAGGAATCAAAGTAACACAAGTTGTCACTTTGAGTGGTTACGTATATATCAATTTGTGTTTACTATCGGCAGGGAATTGATGGGTTCAATCCATTTGGAAGTGACCAATTGGAATTAGACGACATTATAACCTCTATTTTTCTTAATTTTCTGTCTCTGTAACATGCTTATGGAATTCCAGAGGCAGGACATTGAGTTAAGGTCCCTCATTCTGATAGTTTGATCCCAGTATTTAGCAGTTGGCTTTAAGCCATCCTTGTCATCTTCATAGTTTGACTAACCTTGTAAACTTGCAGTTTGATTCCTGCCATTTGAGGTTTGGTCCAACTGGCAGAATCAAACAAGGTCTATAAAAAAAGTCTTGGGGGTGTGATTCCTGCTATTATCCATCTTTGAAGCTTCTGGTATGGCTTGACCTTGAAGCCACCACTTCTTTTTAACTTCTTAACTTTTGAATAGAAAAGTTGATTTTAGCCATTAGCCAACCCTCATTGTTAAGGCTGTCATTTTTCACTACTACTACATATATCTGCTTATTATCAAAAGGCAATTAAATATTACTTCTACATACTATATTCTCTCTCTTTTAATTAAACTTAAGTGACAACTTAGGAAGTGGAATGAGATATAGAATGAAAACCTAACATATTGTAGCTTACTTCTATGATATCTGCAACAAATTGTGGGAACTGGGAAATGATCAGGCTGTCTGAAATAGTTTGTTTGACATTTGTATCTTGATGCTGGAAAAATTATTAAGCATTACTACTTTTGTTATGCATAGAAAATGTAGTAGAAAATATTTTGGAATATGATGAAAAAATCAGGTTGTGCTAGGGTGAGGGTAGATTTTGATATACAAGGGGTTGTGCTCTGTATTATTACTCATGATATTTCTGCCACTGTTACTTTGATTTTTGTTAGGTGTGTATGTGCATATTTATCTGGTTTTAAGCACCCAAAGATTAGGGAAATGCTACTATGCTTCTTACTTAGATACTAATCCATTTGAAATGCAGGTAATGTCATGGGAGAAGATTCTTCTGTTAGTTTGGACAACTTGAGGGCTAACTGGACTCCATCCCAAGATCAATATTTTCTTGAGCTTATGCTGTCCCAAGTTCGCAAAGGGAATAAAACTGGGGGTGTGTTTACCAGACAAGCCTGGGTAGACATGATCGAACAATTTAACACCCAATTTGGGTTCAAGTATGATGTAGAAGTGTTGAAGAACCGTTACAAAAGATTCAGGAAGCAATACAATGATATAAAAATGATAGTGGGTCTAAAGGGATTCAAGTGGGATGGGACACAAAACATGTTAATTGCTGATGGTAAAACATGGGATGAATGTATTAAGGTACACATTGTCATCAAATATTTCAAAAGCACTAATGAATCATTACATTGTAACTAATGTGTTTTTCTTCCTGCAGGCCCACCCTGATGCTCAACCCCTCAAGACAAGGATTGTTCCATATTATAATGATCTGTGCATAATTTTTGGCCATGCAGTCGCTGATGGGAGATACAGCCTTTCATGTTTTGATGTAGATTTTGAATATGTTGGTAGGAACAAATTCCTTGATCATTAAATATTCTTGTATGGTTGAAACTTGAAAGAAAAAGCTCCTTTTAATTTTCGTTATCAAATTTATTCATCTACTGTTGGTATTTTCATTGTGTTTGAACTATTTCAATTTTTTTTTTTCAGAAAAAGAATTGGACGACAAGACTACCGCTGATGAAGGAATGGATGATCAAACTGCCCCTGCTGCTACCAAACAAGGTAAACATGATTGGTCACCAATGATGGACCAATTTTTTGTTGAGCTTATGCTGGACCAGCTGCGTAAAGGGAACAAGATTGGCCGGACATTCAAGAGGAAAGCGTGGGTAGACATGACAGAATCATTTAATGATAGATTTGGATGTCATTGTGGTAGGGGTGTCTTGAGAAACCGTTTCAATGTCCTGAGAAGGCATTACAGTTCTATAAATGTCCTCCTTGGCAAAGAAGGTTTTAGTTGGGATAAGACACAGCATAAGGTTGTGGCTGCTGACCATGTATGGCAAAAATGCATCAGGGTATCAAGTGTTCATGGTCATTTTCTTTTTTTGTTTTCGATAGTTTTTAATTTTCTACTACCAACACCTATTCATTATTGCAGGTACATTACAACTTCCGGCTCTATAAAACTAAAAGCATGCCTTTTTATTCTGGCTTATGCATAATATGTCGCAATGAAGTTACTGTGGGTTGCAATTCAAATCCTGAAAAGGGATCTTCAGGGGGAAATAACTCTGTCCAAGATACTCAGCCACCGCCTATTGCAGATAAAGGAGTATCGCCTATAAGTGCTGAAAATAATTTTTGCAGAGAAACTCAGCCACTCCTTAATGCAGATAAAGAAGTCTTGCATATTGGTGGTGAAAAGAATTCTGCCAGAGACTCTCAGTCCCTTGCTAATGCAGAAAATGAAGCATTACAACATGTTGGAAAAAATGCTTCTGGTCACCTAAAAAGGCATCAACCTAAGATGCCTCCAACCTGGAATGAGTCTAAGAAGGCAAGAGAGCATGTGGCTCTTGCAGTTCCATCACTAACCATGAAACCAAAGAAAGAAGATAATTTTTCTGTTGACAATGTTATCACTGTGCTTCAGGCTATACCAGGCCTGGATGATGATTTAATATTAGATGCCTGTGATTTTTTGGAAGATGAGAGAAGAGGAAGAATGTTTCTGGCACTGGCTGCTCATTTGAGAAAAAAATGGTTATTGAGAAAGCTTCGTTCAGAATGATTGACAAACCTCAGGCTGGTTCATTTTGTAGCGAGTTTTTCTTTTAAAATTTTGTTAGACTGCATGCATGCAAAGCAAGCCATAATTTGGGTGTGTTCACAGAACCCTCAAAAGTATTTGTTTATAGAAGGATTATTCTTTGTTTATCTTTGTCAATATGTACATGACAAGAAATTAAAGTTAAACTAATTTCTTTTTGTTAGAATTATGAAATACAAAGTGCCATCTGTGAAAGAGGGAGAGTGTTAGAAACTGGATCAGATTAGTGAATAAAGAGAGCAGAAGTGAATCTTTATTGAAGAAGTTAATGGCCAGTGCTTCCCAATGTGATACAGTAATGGGAATCGGAAAGCTTTACAAGAATTTGGACTTCTTGGATGCTCAGGAGATCCAAGGCTTCTCCCTCACTGTTTCCTCAATTAGAATAATTTCCCTTCCCTCTCTATGTTCCCCTATTTCTTCTTTTAGCCTAACTACTTAACAAATTTAACTAAGTATATTTAAATACAAGTTTATAAGAGTTTTTAAAAGTTTTTCCACTGAAATTCTGAAAGTAAAACTATTTTTCTAGTAAAGAAGCTCTTAAACACTTCTTCTAGTTTGCATCAAAACAGGTTTTAACTCTTTAATTCTTATACTAACTATGTAATTACGGGGTTACTTATCAACACTCCTCCCTAATTGACCTTTTTTCCTCAAGGGGAACAGTATGTAGTAGCAGAAAAATAAATTTTCACTAGGGTGCCATTGTATGAAACATGACATAATGTTAATCACCAAAATCCTTTCTTGGGCCATTAATGGCTTTCCCTACTCTAATGGCGTTCCAAAATAGAGAAGAGGATTTGAGATGGAGGGAGGCAGTGAATTTTCCTTTGCTCCCAACACTAGCCACCTAATGGTTAATGGTTGGCGAGTATTAACATGAAGACTGGATAAATTTCTCCGTCGTTGGTGATGCCAAATTATCTATTATATAGCAAGTTACATCAGGTATTATATATTTATATTTTTACCCTAAATAAATTTAAAATGTTGATATTAACCTCACAAATAAGCACAATACCTCACGAGAGAGGCATTCCATATATATAGAATTCTACCAATATACATCACCAGTTATATGTTACTAATATAGAGTTTAATGACTATATACTAATCGTGTAAAATTATTTTACACAGTTAATTAATTACAAATTGTTATATGACTTTCTAAAATACAATAAATATATTATAATGACAAATTTTGATTGAATGATAATGTATAAAAAAAATATTATTAGTGTATATATATATTTTTTCTCACAGTATAGTATTGAAATTATACATAAAGGATGTGTTTAGTAAAATTTTAGTCAAAAACTTATAAGAGTTAAATAGTTAGAAGCTTATATACTAAATGAATGAGAGTATTTGATTAAATTAGTTAATAAGTCAGCTAATTACTATAAAATATTGTTTATTTATTATTTGTGTCTGTCATCACTTTAGAATATTTTATTATGATCCTAATTGAATTAGGAAGTCATTGTTTTAATTGACTAAGCTAGTTTTATATGAATTATTAGAGTTGACTAATTGTAAGGAGGTAGATACATAGGACTTATATTGTTGGATCTTTGTTATCCGTTGCAATGTTTTATTTATGTATTTTTTTAAAAGAAAAGCGTACTAAAAAAATCAACATATAATTATCAAAGAAAAGTCCATGTTCACCCAAGTACTAACAGTGGGCTGTCCAACATGTAGAGTTCCATGGGCTTAATGCTTTTTTTGGGGCATGAACATTGGTTGCAATTCTAATGTGTGCCACCAAGGCTAACGACTTCTATTGATTTTAATTTTTACTCTTAAAATAACACATAAATTACAATGCAGAATTTTTTACGGAAGTAGAATTTTTTGAAATTTTTTTTTTACCAAAAACGCACCTGTTACACTTTATTTATACATCTAACAACATTCTTGTTCATATTCAGAATTCGGTTCCCGAGAAATCAAATTCTGAACTTCAAAATTTTTTTTTTCTTTTGTGATCAGAATTCGGTTCCCGGAGAACCGAATTCTGAGTAATTTTTAATTTTTTTTTGGGTTGGTGGAACAGTTTGCGCGAATCTTGGAACTAGAACGGCCTGTTTTGAAAACAGAACGACCCGTTCCATTTTCAAAATTAACATTCTACGTGTACAAGCGGAACGGGCCGTTCTGATTCCAGAACGAGCCGTTCCAGTTCCAAGATTCGCGCACTCTCGGCCACAAACCAAAAAAATAAAAAAAAAATTAAAAACTACTCAGAATTCGATTCCCCGGAACCGAATTCTGATCACAAAAAAAAAAAATTTTGAAGTTCAGAATTCGGTTCCCCGGAAACCGAATTTTGAATATGAACAATGAATGGTGCTAGATGTGTAAATAAAGTATAACATATGCGTTTTTGGTAATTTTTTTTTTTTAAATTCCATTTCCGTAAAAAATTCTTACAATGCACCGAATAAAACCAATATGGAACAAGGATTTCAAGTGAACGTTCACATGACATTAATAAACCTCCACGAGTGAGAGTGAAGAAAATTTCTCCCTCTTACAAAGAGTATGTTCATCTTTTCTCTTTTCAAATTATGTATACGTTTAGTGTAATTCATATTTGCTAATTTGCTGCATATTTTTCGTATATATTTTTATTATGTATTTTCTCATTTTATTTCCTTAGTTTATATGAAAAAGATTTATTAATAAGAGTATATATAACAGATGCTATAAAAAAATTAAAAATTAGGTTTTGTTTATAAATTTCTTCATAGGTACTTGTGGGAAAAGAAAATAAAGAGGTAAAGTGAATTGAACTCATAAACTAAGTATCTGTTTGGATAATTTTTTCAAAAATACTTTTAAAAAAATTGAAAAAGAAAAAGAAAATAAACTCCTTTAATTAATTATGTTAAAATTAATTTATGTATAAACTAATTTGTAAAAGTCTTTTCATATTACCTTCTCCAAAAACTTATATGCATAACTTAATTTGTGGATTTTTATTTTTATTTTTTTATCCTTTTAGAAGTATTTCTTTTAAGAAGTTTATCTAATTAGACCCTAAATGAATTGATACATTTCATCTTTAAAAGAAGTTAATTGAGATAACTTCTATGAAAGTTAAATGCATAGAATGATTTAATTTTATAAAAATAACTTAATTTATTTTGAATTTTAAGCCTAAAAAAAAGTAGTCCAACATAGCTCAATTGATTCGTTAGGTTCGACAAAATTGATACAATTTTTTTATCACTTTTTTTCTTCTAAAGTTTTGGTTATTAGACTATCGAGTTAATTCATTAAGACATAATATTTTAATTTTTATCCTTTTATAAAAATAGTTCAATTTTTATTCAGTTCAGTTTTATAGTTTAGTACAGTTAACTTTTCAACAGTTCAGTTCAGTTTAGTTTTTTTTAAATAGTTCAGTTCAGTTTTTTTGCAAACAGTTTAGTTTTTTATAGTACAGTTCAGTTCGGTTTACCACCAGTTCAGTTCAGTTCAGTTTTTTTTGCCCACCCCTACCCTGGAGTATCCAGGGCCGATAGCAGTGACTAATCTCCTCGCTACGTTGGAGGCACCTTAAAGGGTGGGATAGCTGGCCCCAAGATTTAACGCGACTGCATACACAAGACAGGATTCGAACCCCTGACCTTGCTTAAGCGTGGATCAACCCCTACCGCTGAATCACACGCACTACAAGAAACTTGTTTGTTTGCGTCAGTTTTTTAGTAAGAGTAGCGGTGGTTTTGACCGCCACAAAATTATATTTCGGCAGATTATAAACCACCGCAATCTCGTGCATCGAGACTTCATTTTGCGACAATTTTTTAAACAGCCACACAAACAGCCGCAACATATTTGATAAAATTGCGGTAGTTATGAAAGTGTCGCTATTTTGGAAACTGATACTAGTTAAAAATTAGCGGCAGTTTTAAACCTCCGCAAATGTAAACGTACATTTTATAGTTCTTATCCAATTTGTAATTAAATGTTTATTATAATTACATTTTTCAACTTATTTATTTAAATTCTCATCTCAAACATATGTGATAAAGATAAACTAATACAAATGATGCAAATAGAAGCGTCATTCATTAACTAAAGATATTAAATCCAAATTTAGTACATAATAGATTTGCATCTTTCAAACATAGAAATAGTCCTTAAAATTAAGAAACACTGAACTGAACTTATAAAAACTATACTGAACTTAAAAGTAGTTCATATGAACTGAACTAAACTAAATATTAGTTCAAACGAACTGAACTGAACTGATTTTTTGTGTTATTGAACTGAACTTAACTATACTATAAAAACTTGAACTGAACTGCAATTTAAACTGCACTGAACTGTTATGATATTTTGAATTGAACAATTTTGACTCATTGATCTATCAAAATAGGACACATTTGCCAACTTTACTTTATTTTCCATTTTATTTAAATTTTTCAAAGAAAAAAAATATAAAATTAAGTCAAACAAACTCAGTGAATTTTAAGCCTAAAAAAAAGTAGTCCAACATAGCTCAATTGATTCGTTAGGTTCGACAAAATTGATACAATTTTTTTATCACTTTTTTTCTTCTAAAGTTTTGGTTATTAGACTATCGAGTTAATTCATTAAGACATAATATTTTAATTTTTATCCTTTTATAAAAATAGTTCAATTTTTATTCAGTTCAGTTTTATAGTCTTAAAAAACTTCAAGTCCCGCATCGATTGAAAATAAAGCAATTAAAGAGTATATAAGTTGGGGCAACACTTACCGTACAAGTTGATTTTTATAGTTGAGTGTTAGGCTTATAATCTTCAATCTTAGAATATAAAAGATTATGTATCACATGTTGGAGGCATGGAAACAAATTTTTCGGATGAACATTTGAAAGTTGAAAAATTATTGATAGAATTTATAGTAATTTCTTTAATTTTTTTCGTAAAAAATATTCCTGCAAAATTTCTTGTGAAAAAATTCGCAAGAAAACTTTCCTACGAATTTTTTTCGCAAAAAAATTTCTTGCAAATTTTAAAATTCACAAAAATATATTATCCACGAAGTTATTATCTGCAAATAAAATTTCGCAAAAAAATTTGTAGAAACAACATTTCCTGTAATTTTTATGAAAAATTCGCAGGAAAAATCACATGTAATAAAATAAATTCTAGTAGTGAATATAGCC